AAAAGCTACTCTCCCTACTGAAATCAGACAAAAAAAGAAAAGAAAAAGAAAAAAACAAAAGAAAAAAAAAACATTTCGCTTTCTATTTCTTTTTGCTCTCTACTAATGAGTGAAGATGATGTTTTTATGGTAGTCATGTATGTACAAAGACTCTTAATCTTTCTTTCTCTCTGATTTTTTTTCTCTAACAGTTAGATCTGTAGATTCTAATTTTTCTCTTACTTTTGGAAGAAGATCTAAAAAACTCTCTGTTTTTCTCTGATTCTGCATTGGTAAGCTTTCTTTCGTTACTCAATGCATCAAATTAAAAAAAAAAAAGCCCTAAAAAAGTTTAGTGTCATTTTGTTTGGATTGAAGAGGTAAAGTTTTGAGGGAAAAATGATTTTATTTAATTTTTCCTGCAATTTCCCTTTTTTTCCCCCTAATTGTCATGTTTTTGTGTTTGATTGGTGAGAAAATTGAGGATATAAACGGAAATTTTTTTTCATTTTTGCGTTGTAAAAGTCAACTGGATTTATGTACAAAATTGACTGGGAAATTAGAGTTTTTGTTCGACAATTTGATTACGTAAAGGAAACTCAAGAACTTTGAAATTGCTTCAATTTTCTATATCTGGAAATCAATTTTGTTACAATGTAGCTATTTCAAGAATTCATTATTTTTAGCTCGAATTTTTTTTTTTTTTTACATTTCGAGTCGCTTTTCCCATTGATTTTTTTCCACTGTGTAGAAGCCGGTGATTTTTCGGTGAAGTGAAAATGTCGTCGAGAAGAGGATCGAAATCGAAGAAATTAGGTTCAAGCAACTCAAAAGCTGTAAATTCGCCTTCATCTTCAACAACATCATCATCCAAACACTTTCTGGAAACATCTATCGATGGCCAGAGTTCACCGGCGTCTTCATCGGCTCGAAGCAAGCCACAGTATTTTTACTCTGAGAATTTGCATGTGGATGCCGACCGATCCAAAGAAAATGTCACCGTCACCGTTCGTTTCCGTCCTCTAAGGTACATTATTTGATTTGGTTCTCTTTTGAGTATTTAGTTAATTTATTTGCGTTTGATGAAGGCTTATAAATTTTGTTTGGTGTTTGTCGATGTAGTCCGAGGGAAATTCGTCAAGGCGAGGAGATTGCTTGGTATGCAGATGGGGAGACTATAGTGAGAAATGAACACAATCCATCGATAGCATATGCATACGGTTAGTTTTGTAGATTCTATCCACAAACATTTTCTATTTCTAAAGAGAATGAGTGTTATTTGATGCACTTGATTGAAGAAACCTTTAGGTTTTACTCAGAGTTATCTTTACTAGATATCGACTAATGAAAAACTTTGAATAAAAATATCTTGAGGAATTCCAGTGCCAAAGAGCTGGTCATATTCGAAGTTTCAAACAATAATCTCGTAACATTGGTATCGACTTTTAGGTTGTTTATGACCCCAAAATTCGTTTTATCTTTAGCCTTTAATATCAGTTTTTGAGGATTCTTTTTTTTTTTATTTGTTTTTTGTTTTTCAGAAACATTTCTCCCCTCAACATGTTTTATATGTGAATTTGACATTCTTTAGATGGGCACATTTCTGTTTCTGTCATGGTTTATTATGTATAGAATCTTTAAGTTCTGATTAAGGTTTTGGTTTATTATGTATAGAATCTTCTTTAAGTTCTGATTAAGGTTTTATGTTCATGTGTGAAATAGCACTGTGATACCATATGAAGTTTGAGAAACATTTACTATTTGTGTTCTATTTAGATTTAAGAAAATTTACCTTTCTCTGTCATTTTTATTTGAGGCATCTGTCTCATTGACATAAACTATATATTATCCAGTGGCCCTTTTTTCGTTTTTTGGTCTAAATTTTTTTAGTATTACATCTCACTTAATTGATATGTTATTTCTTACGCTTTTAGATCGAGTGTTTGGCCCTACAACTACTACACGCCATGTCTATGATGTTGCTGCTCAGCATGTTGTCAATGGTGCCATGGAAGGCATCAATGGTATGTTGTGAAGATCTCTCTTCTTAGGAAAAATTGGCTCTTATATTATTTACAGATTGCTTGAATTTTGTCCTTATCAAATGAAATAAAGTGTCTTTGTTTTCTTAATTGTGCTTTTATTTTTTTAGAGAGTAGAAAAAATTCATTACTTTTGAATCGTCAACGGTGGCCAAAAGAAAGTTAATGAACTAGTTGACAAGGATTGAGATTATTCCATGACCACCTGTTAAACCAATGTTTAAGGCTATTTTGAAACTTAATAGTTTTGCTATTTTCATGCATCGTGGGCTGATGTCTTTATGAATGCGTGCATGCACTTATCCATGAGAAGTTAGACCAGGCAAGGCTGTTGCTGCTCTATGACCTGCATAGTGTTGGTCACTCTTTCAGAATTTATGACAAGGTGCAAGGATGTTGCCAAGGCTTCCTAATAAGGGCAATAATGATCTGGTGACTTTGGCTTATAAGTTTGTTTGAGGAGGCTCCAGGGTATAAGTGGTTTTCAGAGTGCTGTACTGCTGTTGCATATGGTCATTTGTTAGTGACTGCTATTTATTGCGTTCATAGTTGAGACCTAATTGTTAATTGGTCCTATTTCAGCACTTTAACTCGTAGTCACTCTGTAGGAGGACCATTTTAACCTAGGAAAACTCAATTTGATATGTCTGGAACCAATAGATTTGTTATCAAGGTATCCTAGGCTTCTTTGGTAACTGCTGTTTCAAGCAAGAAGCCGCCTTGCCTTCTTTGAATAGAAGTGTTCACAATTTTGCATCAGAAGTTGATGGATTGATGCTGAAAGTTCTGGCATTTAATTTGTATTTTCTCAAAGCATTTTTGTTCATATAGCTTACAGTGTTAAATTCCCTTCACAGGCACCATTTTTGCTTATGGCGTGACAAGTAGTGGGAAGACTCATACGATGCAAGTAAGACTATATAATTTTCTACTTCTTTTCCTTATCTTTGTTTGTAGGTTGTGCATTGCACGATGGTTTCTGCTATTTTAAATTCATCTAAAGTTGTAATGTGATGGTATGTTGGTTTTTAATTTGTGTTATAGAGACCAAACATTTGGTTCTTTATGCTGTTACACATTAGCGAAGCATTGGTTCTTTTTGCCAACGGGGATTGATTGAGTTGGTAAGGGTTGAATACTTTGCTTGTAAGGCCTAGGTTCTATTCACGCTGCCAGCAGTTCCCCTTGGTGAGTCCAACGTAAGTCCTAATTGAGGCCTGCAATATGCCTGGCACTGGAATGGGATAGCCTCCCCTCACCTAAAATTTTTTGTATAAAAAAGATTGGGATATAGAGAATTGGATTAATGATTATTTGTTGATATAGGAACAAGAAGGGATTGTGGACTGGTTATTTGACCTTATAAGTTAGTGCAGCAAGGATTGAAATTATTTTGTGCCCTTTAAGTCAACCTATTTAATTTGGCCTCTTCCTCTTATGACGTGCTTATTTGAACTAAAGCAGCAATATCATGATCTTCGTCTACTAGTTTCCTATAAATTTGATTTGCTTCCATATTTGAGCCTAGCCACTTTTACATCTATCTTTGCATATTCTATTTTCTGAGAAGCGTGTTACAAGGTTCACTGAAGGGTTGTGGACTTGTTATTTAACTTATAAGTTAGTGCAGCAAGCATCAAAATTACTATGCCCTTTAAGTGAAGTCTATCTAATTCTGTGTCTTCCTCTTGTGACAAGCTTAGAAGTAGTAGTGATTTTTTTAACTAAAGCAGTAACTTCCTGCTCTTCATCCACCAACATCTTATAATTTGATTTGCCTCCACGTTCGTGCATAGCCACTCTTTATTTCTATCTTATCAAAATCTGTTTTTTGGAGAAGTGTATTACCCTGGTTTGTTCTGCACTATTAATGGAAAACACCATATGTTGTCTTTGAGTGCCTGTATATATATATTATGGATCTTGGCGAGGATAATGATTATGCCATGTTAAAGGGTATGGTTTATTATCCTGTATCATATCTATTGAATATCTCTGCAAATGTAAGACTTCATAGTCAAATTCTCCTGTTTTCTTCTGGCGTATTTCCAAAATCTTTAAAACTTCAAGCATGCTATTTTTTCTCAAAAACTGTGCAATTTCTACATACAACATTGTAATACATAGTATGCTTTGGTTTCGGATTACTGTTTCATGTAAGGGAAAGGCACACTATGCATATGTATTTTAAAATACAAGTGGCATGCTTAATTTCATCTTAACTGCTGAAATGGCAGGGTGATCAGAGGTCGCCTGGAATTATACCTCTGGCAGTGAAGGATGCTTTTAGTATTATTCAGGAGGTACTTGTATGGGATGTTGACAAATGTAGTTTCTATTTCTTGTACTTTCTATGGATACTAATGGGCCCCTTATGCTTTAGACACCAAACCGGGAGTTTCTTCTTCGTGTTTCATACCTTGAGATCTATAATGAGGTGAACTTTTTCCCTTTTTTCCTTAGCTATTAGCCAGTTATTCTTCTCTCTATCTTGACAACCCTCCTTTCCCTAGAAAACTTAGTTAAACTACCTTCAAATCTACATTTTCTTTTATATAAGATCACTATTCTTCAAGGTTTTTATCATTTCAGGTTGTTAATGACTTATTAAATCCAGCAGGACAAAATTTAAGAATTAGAGAAGATGCTCAGGTACTTGTTTATCGGTTATAATCCTTGTTTGATATGTTCTTTTTGTCATTTATAACGTTTCTACTTTGGAATGATGTCCACTATTGATCGCCTTTTTTATTTTTCTTCTATGGTTAGATAATGATTCAATATCAACTTAGATAGACTTCAGTGAATGTGGAAAATATGTTAATTGGAGATTCATGTTGAGCTTTTGGCATGAACATCATGTTTTATCATCCAAATGAGGCCAACTATAGTTTATGACTATTTAATTTCTGCTTAGTATAATATGTTCTAGCGTGATATGTAGTGGGTACACATCTGTAAAGTTGCTTAGTGGTTCCTTGTTATGGCCACGTGTGTGCACTAGGGAATATGATGTTTGCCTTGTCTTTAATTCTGCATGTGTTTCTATTTTTTAATTCTTGGATTTTTTTTTCTATTTTCTCATAATATAATATTTTTTCTTCCAATTAGATTGTTATTGGGTGTATGTGATTGATATGCCTAGTGTTTCTCACCTGTTCAGAAGTGTGTTATTTATCTATTGCTTGGTTTATGACTGTAGGGAACCTTTGTTGAAGGAATAAAGGAAGAAGTAGTACTATCCCCTGCTCATGCCCTCTCTCTTATAGCGGCTGGAGAAGGTAAAGCATGCTGGCATGTTTTGCTATATCCAGGGATGAGTTGCTCAAATTTGAACTGGAAGATTGTGTAGAGAGCTCTGGAACCTGAGCTTCATATTATATATGTTATGAGAACTAATGTTATGTATTTTTAAATTGGATAAAATGACTAAATAGTTTACTGACACTAAAAAGGGGGAGTTCATGCACATGGATTTATTAATGTGGATATGTGTTTGTGTGTGGCTGTCCTCTTCGTTGCACACCTTGTCAATGTTTGTTATTTGGGCCAGTGTCCTTTTCCTTTTGATAGCAGTAATGGAATTTTTTTCATACTACGTAATTAGATTTCATTCTTTCATAACAGAGCACAGACATGTTGGATCAACAAACTTCAATTTACTCAGCAGCAGGAGCCATACAATATTTACACTGGTATACTCTCTGTTACTCTGTATCTTGTAGAAGTTCCTCATTCCCCCCTTTTAGTTTTACCACTTTAAGTGAAAAAGATGTTTGCTGATACTATTTTAAGTGGTATTAACTGCAATCTGTTTATCTAAGAATTTGTGAGAAACAATGTTGATTCCTTGTTTTGAAGTGTGGATTTGCAGTTACATGTCAAATATGTTAATCCTGTTTGCTATAGTTCTGATTTCGGATGTTGTATTTGATTAATTGATTGTCATTTACATTTTCACAAATTCACTGCCACAACTGATTATTTCCTGAGACCACGTTGTCTACAGACGATAGAAAGCAGCCCATGTGGTGAAAATAGTGAAGGTGAAGCAGTAAATCTGTCACAGCTGGTAAATTCTGCAGCCTTATTCATGGGACCCATTTTGTTATTTTCTTGTTACTTTATGTTTCCTGTTTTGTCTTATTTTTATTTATTATTGTATTTATGTATGTTTATCTTCTTCTCTGTTTTGGAAGGAGCTAATAATTTTAGTGTCTATTAATTCCCCTGTTGGTGAAAACATTTTAACTTTTCCATAATTTACCGACACTTGCAGAACCTCATTGATCTGGCAGGTTCTGAGAGCTCGAAGGCTGAAACAACTGGCGTAAGGCGAAAAGAAGGATCTTATATCAACAAAAGCTTGCTAACACTAGGAACTGTGAGCCCTAATTTACTATTTTTGTTCGAGTCATGATGGAAATTGAACTGTTTTTGGTTTGTATTAAGTTCTTTCTCATTTATTTCTATGTCAATAGCTGGTTATATATAGTCCACCATCTCTGGTGTGTGTGAGAGAACTATGTTTAGGTATACGCTTGACTTGATTTAAATTCTTTGGTAACTTTAACAAGTGTTTGGAGAGAATATATGTAACTACAGCAGAGTAGCATTAAACCAACTTCCTATCTAATATTTTTTCTCAGCATGGTATTTTTTTCCCTCTAAAATATTGTTAAAATTGAAAGGGAGACACCAAAGGTTTTTCCCTAATTTATTAGTGTAGCTGTTGATTGAAATTACTATAATGTGTTGTATGATCTTAATTTTCTCTTTTCAAAATAGGCTTGCTTAGATATTGGTTTCTGAAATTGTTAAGACAAGTCTGTAACAACCACGTACTTCAACCTCATACACAGATAAACTCATGAATCATGCCTCTGTGTCAAGTACTTATCATTTTGTTCTCCGGTCTTATATGATGCATAAACCAGTAAATCAAAATAAAAATAAAAAAATGCTACATTACGGGGCTAAATTAATGTCAATTGTTATGCATTTCTGAATTTTTAATTGGACAAGGGTGGCGCTGAATGTATTCTTTGCATAAGATATTTTATAGCACATGAGAATACTCTGTTCTTATAACTGCTGACAGTTACTTTTGGAATATGATGACATAGACATACCATTTACTTTATCCAATGGTTTCATAACATTCTCTCCCTCTCTCTTTAAATAAATAATTATGTTGGCGATTACTTTATCTTTATTTAACAATAGCAATTTCCCTTTGGTCCTATGCATATTTTTCAATACTATTATACATTTATTTTATATGGGATAAACTCTGTTTAGAATATGACCTGTTGATTTTTGTAGGTTATATCTAAACTGACAGATGGTAGAGCCACTCATATACCATATAGGGATTCTAAGCTGACCAGGCTGCTTCAGTCTTCGTTAAGTGGTCATGGGCGTGTATCTGTAAGCATCATTGCATACCTTTGTTGAAAAACACGTCAATATTCTAGATTGACTAAAAGATATTAGAAATATTCAATGTGGCACTGTATTCCTCTTTGGAAAGGTAATACTGGCTTATAGGTCTCGTTTTTATTTCTTTTCCTTTTCTGGCCAAAATTTCAGCTTATTTGCACTGTCACTCCTTCATCAAGTAACACAGAAGAGACTCACAATACACTGAAATTTGCCCACCGTGCTAAACACATTGAAATCCAAGCAGCACAGAACAAGGTATGCACGTATTTTTTGTGTTTGTATGTAAATGTGCAGATGCATGTGTGTTGTGTGAAGTGCACATGTCTGTACACTGTAGATATTGGTGTTGACATGCACACCCTGCGCTCAAATGTGTGTGCACACATGTAGACACACAAGTATGTTTATTTGGAATATTATTTTCTTCAATTTTTGTTATTTGCTTTGACAAAAAGCAGATTATTGATGAGAAATCACTTATCAAAAAATACCAAAATGAGATACGCTCCTTGAAGGAAGAGTTAGAACAATTGAAGCAGGGTATTGTAACAGTTCCTCAACTAAAAGATATTGGAGAAGATGATATTGTACTCCTAAAGCAGAAGGTACATTTGTTCTACGTTGACTACAATAGCTGAAAATTTAATGTTAAGTTTTTTTTTCTTTATCTAATTGTGAATCTTGTCTATGGGGAAATTTTGCTACTTTATAAGTTCCGTTATAGACCATTATATCATTATTGTCTTTTTAACTATGTGATTTGAGCTAATTGAGAGGTAGGCAGTAGTACAAATTGCTGACTCATTGTGGTGGTGTGTGCTTAACCTTTTAATATATTTTAAAAGTGCTGCGTCTTGCTTAACTCATGGTTTTTATTTATTTGTGGGCTATGTTGGTTGTGAAATTATGTTTTGTCAATAGTAGTACAGGTTGTTCTGCTTAATCCTATACTGTGGATGATTCTGTCTAGCGAAATATTATCCAAGGCTTAGCAGCCATTGACCATTCTCCTTCCTAGCACATTATCACTCTGTGGATGGTATAGGATTCTCTATTTGATTAATCTTTTGCTGAATAATCAGTCATTTTGATTACCTAATTTATGTTTAAGCAATTCTGAGGATACAAAAAGTAATAGGTTTGACCCGTTAGCTTGAACCCCACTCTTTATGCATTTTCGAGATGGGCTGTGTAAACTTTTTTTTGCTTCTGGTTACCATATACAAAGTACTGGCCTAGATTACCTAATTTCCTCAGCAAACTAATAACAGGTGTGAGAAGAGTAAATTAAAGAAGGTTTTCTACACTACATGGTTTATCTTCAGCAGGCTTCCTACAGGAAGAGTAAACTAATAACTTTTGCTTGTTGCCAGGCATTTTGAGCTGCTTCCTTGGTTGTCAATTTGTAGTTGTTAACTTATTATATTTAGACAGCCTCTGTAGTTCTTGAATCTTTTTGTGACCTTAAAGTAGAGACTTGGGGAGAAGAGCCTACCAATTCTAGTTGCTTGTGGTAGAAAGAGAAACTAATAACTTCCTAAATAGGGGGTAAAAGTTTTTTTTTATTGCCAGCCTTCTTATCCTCTCAATCTTTTGTTACCACACTTCAAGATGATGAGTTGAGATTGGACGCTGAGGTGAAATCATAGGGGAAAGACAACTTTGAGATAATTATCTCTAACAAAATTCTCCATGATGCTATCTCATGAGATCCTGTTGTGTTAACTTGGATTTATTTAGATTAGATTTCAATTCAAAAGCTTATGATAGTGTGCATTGGCATATTTTGGCATAAGCAGTGAACCTAAAGGACATCCTTGTTGTCATGTTGAAATGATTCTATTTTCTTCTTGCCTTTTTAAATAAAGTAATATTATGGTTTTTATTCTTCATTTTCATGTCTCACTTTAATCAGTTGGCATCACGTTAAATGAGTTGATGTAAATAGTTCTTGAATCATAGCTGCTAATTTTATCTCAAAGGGGAAAAGAGAGATGAATCACATCTTGACTTTGACAATTCCTTTATTGTGATTTGTAAAGCTAGAAGATGGTCAAGTCAAGCTGCAATCAAGGTTGGAGGAAGAAGAAGAAGCGAAAGCGGCTTTATTGAGTAGAATACAGCGATTGACAAAATTGATTCTTGTCTCCACAAAAGCTTCACAATCAACAAGATTTCCCCAACGCCCTGGTCCAAGGAGGAGACATTCATTTGGAGAAGAAGAGGTATCATGGTTATCTTATTTACTTCATATACTTGTTGTTCATGTTCTACTGCATGACTAGATTTGTTTTTATGCACTGAGACTTTCACTTTGTTTAATCTAATTGTCTCTACTTATAGTTACTTATATCTAATGGACAGCTTGCGTACCTACCACATAGAAGGCGGGACTTGATCCTGGATGATGAGAATGTTGAGTTGTATGTTTCCCTTGAAGGGAATGCTGAAACTGGAGATGATATACTTAAAGAGGAGAAAAAGACCCGAAAGCATGGCTTGCTAAACTGGCTTAAGCTCCGAGTATGTTTATTCTGGACTTTTAGTACTCTGTGTTTGTATTGTTAAAGTCTATGTTTGTTGTTTTATAGCAAGAATATCAGCTTGATAATGTGGCTAAGATAGATTAGTGGATGGAATTTTTTCACCATCTGATCTGACATTCATTTCAGCAACTCAGCACATTAAAACAAATAATCTGAAATAATCTTACTTTTCTAATGATAACTGTTGACACTTGATTCATTAATTTGGAGTTCTCATAGGTGATTTCTCACCTATCATTATGGGAGATTTGCTCTAAAATGCAATAGTTAACATGTTAAGTGAGAGCTTAGAATTATGTACTTACAAAGATTATAAAACAGCTGAGCCACATTTTTTTTGTCTTTAATATTCTTTTTCCTCAGTAAGGTTTAATTTATTGCCTTGTAAAGTTAATTGCTTTGCACTTCTCTATTGGTGGAGTTTGCGAAACTAATCTATCATATAATTGCCAGCTCAAAATATTGTAACTGTTATATCTTTATCTGAATCCTAAAAAATAAAAACTGATAACTATCTCTTAATATTGCTGTGGAAGAAAAGAGATAGAAGACAACTTAGTCTATATGCTATGTAGCAAATGTATTTTTTCTTTTTAATTTCAAAATTGGTGCCTAATATAAAGGGTTTAAAGATAAATAGCTCATGGAACTAAATAAGATCATGCAAGCATTGATGCGTTGGTGTCATTTACTTGAATTGTTTTTAGTGAAGCATGTGTAGAAGTAGATTTTTTTTCCCTCTTTAGTAGCTTGTATAATAATACTATTCTTGTCCAGAAACGTGATAGTGGTGTGGGGACCTTGACAAGTGCCAGCGATAAATCAAGTGGAATTAAGTCTAATAGCACACCTTCTACCCCTCAAGCAGGAAGCAATAACTTCCATGCAGAATCTAGGCTTTCCCAGTCCTTACTTACAGCAAGTTCTCCACCCATGGATCTTCTATCCGATGCTAGACAGGATAGAGAAGTTCCAGAGGACAATTACCTTGGACAAGAGACACCTTTGGTATGCAAACATTTTTTTTTCTTTTTATTTTTATTATTATTATTATTTTATTTCTTTTTCTGTTCTACATAATCCCCCTAAGTGTATTAGGTTTTTAATTCATCTCTTTCTTGCTCTGACTTTGTTAAACATTTCGAATCTGTATGGTATACTCTCACTATTAAGGAATGTTGTCTAACTACTGTTAAATTTAGAACTTGCTGTGCCTTATTTATTTTAATTCTGCGGATTGTATTGTGCATAGTTCAGTAAGTAGATTTTGCTGCCTTATTTGTTCCAGACAAGCATAAAAACAATTGATCAGATAGATCTACTAAGGGAGCAGCAGAAGATTTTGTCTGGAGAGGTAGCACTTCATTCAAGTGCTTTAAAGCGATTGTCTGAGGAGGCTGCAAGAAACCCCCAGAATGAACAGATTCAAGTAAAATACTGGCTTCATACCGACCCTGTTATTTGCTTTATAGACTTCCCAAAGACTGAATTTTGTTGTTCTTTTTTGTATTTAAGGCTGAGATGAAAAAGTTGAGTGATGAAATCAGGGGCAAGAATGAACAAATTGCTTTGCTAGAAAAGCAAATTGCTGATTCCATTATGGTTTCACACACCGAGATGGACAAATCAGAAATATCACAAGTAAGTTCAGCCAGCCTTATTGGTTCCACAGGCCATTTGCCTCTTCCTGCTACTCCATGTTTACGCTATTTTTTTTTTTAATGCTACAGTCTATTGCTGAATTGGTGGCACAACTAAATGAGAAGTCCTTTGAACTTGAGGTAATTAGTTTTCTGTATATGTTCAACCAAGAATGTATCTCATGAGATTTTGCATTATGTGGTAAGAGCAGTTTAGGTACGCAAGTTAAATCAGGTTATATGATGTAATTCTAGTAACCAAACTTGTGAACTCGGTCCATTACTACGAGTTACTACATAGTATAGTACCATAGTCTATAGAAAATGAACTGCAGTGTTGTAGTCAAAGGAAGCAAAGAATGCTATAAAACTTTCCTCAGCCTTTGATTCTTCTGATTTCTCTTATGAGTATTCTATTATAAATTATCTTTCCAGGTTAAAGCTGCGGATAATCGAATAATTCAAGAGCAGCTCAATCAGAAGGTAAATATACCTACTCAACATATGTACAAATATATTTGTCCCATGCTCATACCTTACTAGTAGCTTCCCAATCTGAGAGCCAGTTCTGACTTAACCTCTTTTATCAGATTTGTGAATGTGAAGGACTGCAAGAAACTGTTGCCTCCTTAAAGCAGCAGCTCTCTGATACACTACAATCACAAAATGCCAGTCCTATCGCAACATATTCTCAAAAATTCGCGGAAATGAAAGGCCTGCAGATGGAAAAAGAAGTTGCGGCATCAAAATATAGTGGTGCAGATTTGCTTATAAAAGCACAGGTGCTTATAAATACTTGATGCCTTCATTGCTCATATGGTGCCTTAATTGAGTGTGCCTTCTTTTAAGGCCAAGTCATGCAATTGCATACTATTCACACTTGATCCTATGCTCTACCCCCTTTTAAAATAATTACATATTAATTTTTTAGATTATATCTTTTGAGTAACCAAAATGAAAATTGGAGATAATCTCATAGTTTTTTGGGTATTGTGTTACACCCTTTATATTTTTGTAGACAATTTGGTGCTTGATAATCATTCTTCTTAGTCTTTTTACAGATAACTCTAGCATGAAAAGGGAAATAACTTCTTATATCTCTAAATTTGTAATTCACGCAACAAAGCAATAAAGCAACATCCTTGTTCTATACGAGATGTTCCAACATTTTTCCTTCAAGCATTTTTTAAAAAATGCAGAGAAGTCCTAGGAAATAAAGTTTGGTATAGTAAAATATGATTATCAAATTCCCTATTGCTTTTCTTCTCAGTTTATGCATTACAGTGATGTTAGTATGTATGCTTTGCTTAACATAACTTTCATTGTGTGCTGACTTTTTAATGATTTCAGTTTCGTGAAAGTCGGTATTATAGCTAAATTCCTGATTTTGCTCAATCAGGTGACTGAGATTGAAGAACTGAAGCAGAAAGTTGTTGAACTAATGGAGTCGAAAGAACAGTTAGAACTGCGGAATCAAAAACTAGCAGAGGAGAGTTCATATGCCAAAGGGCTAGCCTCAGCTGCAGCTGTGGAGCTTAAAGCATTATCAGAAGAAGTTGCTAAATTAATGAACCACAACGAGAGACTGGCTGCAGAACTGGCAGCAGCAAAGAACTCTCCCACCCAACGTCGATCAAGTACAAGTACACTACGGAACGGCCGAAGAGAGAGTCTGATGAAACGACATGACCAAGTTGGATCACCCTCAGATCTAAAGAGAGAACTGGCTATGAGTAAAGAAAGAGAGCTTGCTTATGAAGCTGCTCTTCTAGAGAAGGATCAACGAGAGGCTGAGCTTCAACGAAAGGTTGAAGAATCCAAGCAAAGAGAAGCTTATCTGGAAAATGAACTTGCAAACATGTGGGTTCTTGTTGCAAAATTAAAAAAGTCCAATGGAGTTGATACTACTGTTTCGGAATCAACATGAGAAAAACAGCAAAGTGAATCAGGAATTATGTTTAAGGTGCTCAATTATCCAGTCATAATAATTCGGCTTTGGTTAGTATTGATTTCGGATAGTTTTGCCTAGAGAATGTTGTGCATTGCAAGTTGGGGGCAATTGTGTATTCCATATGAGTTTTTTTTTTTTTTTTGATTGATTCTTCAATTTGTTTGTACCCATTGGGTTGTTTTCTTTTCCTCTTCCTTTCCTTTTATCCAATGGGGCATTGTATATGAAAAGCTTCATTTGTGTATTATTATTAGTATTGAAAGTAATGAAGCTCTCAACGTGTACTTTTGTTTTTGGTCAGTCAAATTTCGTGTCTTTTTGGTTGGAAGAAGAGTTTGTTGGATCTATTCCGCAATGGCTTTCGCTGGACAGAACTTTATTTAGTTGCCCTCTCTTTTTTTTTTTTTTTATTTCTTTTGTTTTAAAAAAGATTGAAAGAGATAACACATGTTTCTTTGGGGAATACGAGTGCAGAGGCTTAAGATCCACGAGATTTGTGCAGTCCAAGTTCGTTTGCTCAATGTTTGATATTTATGTATAGAAGAGTTTTGAGGCCGCCATGAAAATGGTGATTAGAAAGCTAAAGAATTTTGCTTCAACTGAGGTAGAATGCCGTTTGGGATTTGAAGGAGGTTTCAGATGTAATTTTTCCTTTAAAACTTTTAATCATAGTCAATACGATCAACTATTCCAGCTTTTGCCAACAAGAAACAACTCAACAATGTTGCCATTGCCTTCAAACAGAAATTTCAATGTTTTTCACAAGGCTTCCATGGTGAATTTTGGAGACCACGAGGATATCAATGAAGCAGTCGATTGCCAGAAAGGAAGAGGGTTAAACAGCTTTAGGAATTAGGTTAGAAGTTTAAGAGATAGAAAATCCTAATAAAAAAAGAATTACCAATTTCTGTGCTCAGGAGGGATAACACTGCGGGACAAGTTTGCGGGAAAAATTGCATTCTCCATCAATGTGGGATGTAGCCCTGTGGGCATTCGAATGAATTATAAAGAAAAAATGTACTCATTAAAACAATCCAAAAATGGAATAGCAAATGAAAACACTGTTTTTTATTATATTATTAAGCATCTCTTTAAAGAGAGAAAACAAAAAGGAAAACATAATAGCCGAGGCCCAAGACCAAGGAACAAAAACGAGCAGCGCATCCCTAGCTAAACAGATTTATAGCTTCATCATATCTTTATTTTTTCCCCCATGGTCCCAATGACTTTCCATTTAGAGCTTCGAATTTAAGTCCATCTTTTCTGAAACAGCACCTAGTAAGTTGTAACTCAGTCTTGTTCCGATCTTCACCATTCCTTTCCGCTGAAAGAGATGATTCAGCTCCAATGGGATCAGTTCCTTACAGCAGGGAGGCTCAAAATGATCATTGTGCTCCTCAGTCAATGGTACCGAGTCTACAACACTTTCACCTTCATAAACCGGTACTGACACATGATCATCAATGATAGAGCCTGCTTGGGCTATCAGGTCATCCCAATTATAGCCAGTGTATTGGCAATCTTTGCAGGGTGGCATAACCTATATATTAAAAGGCTCAATACTATCCCTGGTATCGGCTTTTTGTTTCCCATTAGTTCCTTGGAAGCATTTATCCCTACCAAGGCTTCCTGATCTCTTGCGGTTAATGCATTTTGAAGGTCTCCTCCTAATGCATTTGGGGGATGCATGGGAGGTCTTGGAGCTCATGAAAGGACAATACCACATGGATTTCAACAGTGCCTCTAGGCTCACCCTAGGGTTTGGCTTTGATTGAGCGGTTGAGCTCTCAGAAGACTTGGCCTTGGCTTGCCTGTTGGTGGATATAGCAATTACAAACCAGTAAAGGCAATTTATAGACGAGTTTTCGTATACCTCAGTTGATATAACATGGTCAAAATTTCGGGTTAAAAAAGTGAGAAGGCTGAAATTAGGTTTAGGGTTTTATCAAATGTACATGTAATAAATGTTGTGTCAGTGCTGCGTTGTTGCACATAGACTCAGTGAAAGAAATATTAAATCTGCCATTAACATTTTTCGTTTGTTTAAAAATGAGGTCTGAAGAATCTGTGTAATACCAGAAAAGAATTGAAAAACAGGAACACAAGATCAGTCATGTATGTAATGCAAACAACCCCAACTTCCACCTCTAATATAAATGACTATACCATTTTGTATACAGCATATTAATCAAATTCTTTGTTATCTCAAAATAAAAGCCACACTCATATAGATTGAGGAATTGTGACATGCTGTAAAACTTTAATTCGAGTTCAAATAATTTCAACTCCCAATGCCAATATAAACAAAAACTATATAAAATTAATCGTGACTCATAATTAAAACTCATATATTCATTTAATTACTTATCAAAGCCAAGAATAAAATTAAGATTTATGATTAGTAGAGATAAATATTTTAAGTTAATTTAAAATTTTTTTCATTGAAATACAAATTAATTTTAAAAATTACAAATAAAATTAGCATGTATAATTTTTTTGTAAATGAAAAAAAAATTGTTTTGCAATATAAATAATATTTGCATAATTAATTATATGATTTTTAACGAATATAACCTAAACACTATTTAGATAAATTATTTACCATAATAGACACACATATATATAGATATATTAATTTAATAAAATTTTACTTACAAAATTCTTAAAAATAAATATAATATGTGAAAAAATGAAATAAAAATTAACATGTCTAATTTTATTGTTTACTTTTAATATGTTTAGTTTTATCATTTACTTTTAATAAACAAATATATTTGATTTTTATTCATTATAATTTTAAAAATAAAAAATTATTTTTTCTCACATACAATGAAAAGAGAATGAAGATGATTATTTATTTTATTATTTCATATTTTTATGTTTTTTTTTTTTTTATTAAAAAGTGGTTAAATCATTTAAATAGTGCAAGCTCCATATCTCATTATCCCTATAAGATCAACTTACATTAATCTAAATAAATCATTATGGGAAATTAGAAATTTAGCAATTTCAAATTCTCTAAAAGTAATTTATTTTATTTTTTACAAACTCGAAACATATATACAAGTATATATATTATAATGATATTGCTTAGCACTCAAAGTGTTAATATTTAATTATTAGATAAATAATGAAAATTTTCATGTATGAACCTTAATTTAATGGGGGCAAATATGATCACAACAAAGATTTCTTATTAGGGCAAAATTTTAAAATTTCAAAACTTTTGATATTTTTTATAATAAACCCAAAAGATTTTATGAACTCAGTGGGGGCAACTGCCCCCACATGCTTCTACGTAGATCCATCCCTGATCAAAAGCATTTAACTAATTAATAATTAATCTTCTACGTTGCAAAAAGAATAACATACATTTATCCTTTAAAGTTTAACCTCTTCAAAGGAACATAAAAATTAACATTTTAGCCTTAGCACATAGATTGGATCAGAAGATATGGTAATTAGGGCCACAAGCCAACAGTTTTCCTGTTCTTAATGGCAGTACAGTCACCATATAAAAACCAGCCAAGGACGCATTAATTGATTCAATAAACCACATTTCTTTGTCAAAGCAAATATGGAAGGAATCTCTCCTTCTCTTTGTATTTGTGAATCAAAGGAGCTTTGAATAAGGAAGGGTATTTTATCTACTTTTACAATGTCTGGTTCTGTGGTTGAAAAACAAAACTATGAATCCTATTGGACCGACTGAAAAAAGGAAGCTTTCAAATTTAAGCTCTATATGGCAATCTCCTCGGATTTTCTAATTAATATGCCTTATTACACTCCAAATATCATCATAAATGCTATCATATACATGGAAATTAAATGCTCCTCCATTACCAACCTATTTCTAAGAATGGATTCTAAGTTGATCAAAGAAAACAATTTTGGTAAAATACATTTTTCATGAAGGCCATATGTTTCTGTATCTGTATTTTCTCCATTTAACTTCTTACTCTTCAAGCTGTAAAGCATTCTTCAATACATCCATTGATAATTATAATAGAATCATCACATATATTCAATACATTATATGTCAATGATCAGTTAAATTTGCATCTTAATTTAATTAACTGATTCTTGTTACTTTTGTTATGTGTTATATATATGTACACAAGAATAATATTCCATTGCTATTAATTATAAACGAATTCATCGTGTTGTGACAAATTACCAAAAAAAGAAAGACTACCATGACTTGAATATAAAATTTCTACCCAAATTAGACATCTTTCTTACCAGTTTAAGTTGAAACACGCCTAGTTGCACATCATGAGAAATTAAGACAGTATGAGAAATATGATAATTAGCAATAAAATTTTATTGAGTTTTGGACGGTGTTGCAATCTGTCATATTATAAAAAGTATTGATAATAATTTTTAGTATATGCTTTCAATTATATGCCTATTAGTATTGACGTATCTTTATATAGAAAAAAAAAAAAAACAGCTTTGATTATCTTTGAGTTTGTTTAATTTATCTTAAATTGTGTATGTTCTTTAAATTTATCATAAATCGATGATAAGATACGAATTATTATGAAATTGTGTTACTCTCTTTTCAATCTTTAGATTGTTAATATATATGATTATTTGTTATGAGTTATAACAAGTTTATCAATTTACACGTGTTTTATTATATTATTGAATTACTTTGTCATTTATTGTATTTTTGAATATACATATTTATGAATACTATAAATTGTAACAAATTTATTAATTTATACGCGGTCCATTATATGTTATTGAATTAATTTGTCATTTATTGTATTTTTCAATATACATATTTATAAATACTGTAAGTTGGAACAAGTTTATTGACTTATACGTGTTCTATTATAGATTATTGAATTAATTTGTTGTTTTTTATATTTGTTAATATACATATTTATGTTTATTATAAATTGTAATAAGTCTATTGATTTACACTTGTTTCATTATATATTACTATGCAAGGTTTATAAATATCCTTTAACGAAAGAGATCGCCTAAGGTAGCTTCTAATGAAAAAAAAAAAAAAGAAATATGAAAATGTACAAATAAATACTCCTAGGAAATATAGGAAATTAAGGAGACCAACATATCACCAATTCTTGTTTTTAAATTAAATTAAGCCCTAACAGCTCCATTAAAAAAAAAAAAGAAAAGCAAACTTGAACACCCTCATTTCACAATATATCACATGCTTGAGAAGAAGAAATCCTAGATGCGAATATCACTCAACTATGTCATTGATTCTTATAATTATAAAAATTTTAAGCAGGTGATCAACAAGATATTCAAGATTTCTGGGAAAAG